CCCCCCCCCCGCTGCTGCCCAAGGGAACGACTATCTCGGCATGCGTCGGGCCGCGAAGTGGGACCCGACGCCCCCGCGGCCCCTGTGGTGCCCCCCCCCCCCCGGCTCTCCGGTGCTTGAAGCTGACATTTTTGCGGCGTCCATATGGCACGCCAGGGCTCCAGATCGTACTTCAGTATCAGCAAGCGGGGAGACGTGTTCCGTCGACATCCTTACCCTGAGTCCTCCGGCCCATGTGTATATGTATGCGTGTGGATGTGGATGCGCGCTCGTGCGTCTGTCAAAGGGCCCAAAAAAAGACTGACTCTCGCTCTTGGAGCAACACAACCCACCCACGCAAGAGAGGTTGAAGGCCCCAGGGCCTCTCTCTCTCTCTCTCCCTTTCTCTCGGGGACTCGAAGGATAAATGTGTGTATGCATTTGTGCATTTGTGCGTGTGTGCATGTTCCTGGAGCGAGGATGCGTAGGGAGAAAGAGGCGCGAGGGTGTGTGATCTCTATGTCGCTGATCACGTGTGCCAGCTCTCATCCCTGCGGGTACTGCCGGCAATACTCCCAGATTGCAATGCTCCCGGCCACCCCGGCATTCAGACTGCAGGGGGAGAGAGCACCGGGGGCGGTGGCTGTCTGGGACCTCGAGCCAGCGGGGCCGGCGCCGGGGCTGGCTACCTCAGGCCGAGGGGTGGCCCACGGATCGGTCGATTGGCGGGGGCTCCGATGGGAGGCACCGACCGCAGAGGGTGCCATCTCGGATCCGACGTCCTCGCCACTGAAGCCATGCATGGCGATCTCCACAACATGGTCACACATGCGCAAGACATCCGGAGCAATGCCGGCGCGCTCGTTGCCGATAATCAAAGCCACCTTCCGAGGGAAGGAAAACCCATAGAGGCAAGAGGACCCACGGGCAGGAGGCTCGCCGGTGGTGCTGCCTGTGGACACGGCGTGGTCCGCCTGCTCCAGGCCAACCAGCGAGTAGCCCTCCTGTCGGAGACGCCGCAGAGAGGGGAGAAGTGTGCGTGCGCGACGGATGTCCAACGGCCGGACAGCTCCGGCCCCGGCCTCGGGGACATAGGAATCCGGCACCACACGGGCAATCTCCGCGTGGAGCTTGGCATTGGTCGAGTCGGCGATAACCAGCGCCCGGACACCGAGGGCGGAGCATGTCCGTGCTAGGATGCTGGCATTGACAGCCGACCGCATGGGAGACAGAACAACAACTGCCGGGGAAACAAGCGGGGCCAGTGGCCGGAGGGAAGGGGAGGCGGCACATGTCCGGCGACTTGGGTCAGGAACCGGGGCAGCCGACATGGAAGAACGCAGTGGTATGGGAGAGAGCGAGCGAGCGAGCGAGAGAGAGCGAGAGAGAGACGAGCAGGAAGGCGGGGCTTCACGCACCAAGATCGCGCTCACGGGTCAAAGGAACTGGGCCCCGGTGGCGCGCCTGCACCAGATCCCCGGACCGGATGTCCCCCTCGGGCCCAGGATCCTCGGTCAAGGTGTCCGCCCCCACGGCTTCAGCCACAGGGAGCCGATCTGCCAGCTCGATCGATGACAAGCCCTCGAGGACGGACAGGCTGGGGGGATGCGTTGCCGTCGCCGCCGTCGTCGCCGCCGCCGCCGCCGCCGCAGCAGCAGCAGCAGCAGCAGCATTTGTGGCCGGATGAGCAGGCCCGCGCCCGGGGAAAAGCGAAGCCGCCGCGGCCGGGCTTTCGGCCAGAAGGGCGTCCAGGATCTCGGCGTGGCCCTTCTTCGCTCGGCGACTGGCCTTGGCATAGGTGGCCCGGCTGAGGGGCAAGACGGCGGCCGTGGCCGCGACCGGCCGAAGGTGGGTGGCGATCTTGCCAAGCATCATGGTCTCGGCCTTGCCCACGTCCCTTCAAACAACTACGAGGATACCCAGAGCGAAGATGGATGGAGAGAGAGAAAAAAAAGCACGAGCAGGAGGTTGGTATCTGGCCGGGGGGTGGCGGTGCGGGAGGGAGGCCGCTCCCTTTCGGAATATGCCCCCGCCCCCTCGGACACACCTCCACCCCCCCCCCCCCCCCCGGAGGGCGCGGCAGGAAAGTTGCAGGCACCGCGGAGGCGCGCCAATGTTTCACCCAGCTGCCAACGCATGGGCGATCTGATCGACGTTCCCCCGCCCGCCCCGGAGAAGCACACACCGTCCGACACTCGTCATCGGTCGGGGACAGATTTGACTGGCCGACTTGGGGGGGGGGGAATCTGACTCGCGGCCTCTAAACTCGCCCCCCCCCCCCCCCCCCCCGAATCCCAGCCCCCTCCTCGTCCTCCTCCCGCTACTCCCAGTTGGCATACATCTGCCCTCCGGATTTCTCGTCCGGCTTTCCTCTTCCCAAAGGCACAAGCATGCTCGAGATCTACTCGGCATCGCTTCTGCCGGGCGCGCTGCTCGATCCCACGAACCATCGTGCGGTGTTGGTGTCACCAACGGCGGCGGTGCGTCTCGGCCTGCTGCCGGGCCAGCCGAGCAACCTCTTCTTGTCGGTGGATTTGGCCCCATGCTGTGGCGGTCTCGCTGGCGCGTCGCCCTCCGAGGCATGGCTTGTGCGCGCCCTACCAGCATCGCGGCCACCGTCGCCAGGAGGGGCCCCCGGGCCAACCGAGCCGGAGCTCCTGCTCCCACCGGGCTTGGCTGCAAGCTGGCAGGCCGGCCCGGAGCCGATGTGTGCCAGCCATGGCGGATCTTCGGGGACCTCTCCCCTGCATGAGGCTCCCAAAATGCACGTGCGCATCATGTCCCGCCATGCACTGCCGGCTGGCCGGGATGAACACCCACCGGCCCCGGCACATGTGCCGCCCGCCGCCGGGGTGTACATCAGCCGGGTGCTCACACCCACCGAAGAGACGCACTACAGCCAGCTGGACCTGCCGGCCGGCGGCTGGCGGGGTGTGCTCAATGCCGAGGGGCCAGCTTGCGTGCCGGCATTGAAGGACGCGAGGGCCGTCCTCGGTGGGGCCTGTCCGGACTGCTCGCCCACAGGGCGGCCAGTCGCCGGCGCCTGTGCCCGCTGCCTGCAGACCTTCGCTCTGCTGGAGTCCACGTGCCGGGCTGGGCCACCAGAGGTGGCTGCTCTGAGGCACTTCTTTTCGCGACCGCGGCTCCTTCGTCCGGGCGAGGTGCTGACCGTGCCGCTGGACATCGCAAATGCCCGCCCGGAGGCTGTTGGTCTCTTCCGGGTGGAGGAAATCCTGCCGGCCCCCGAGATGCAAGCCCCTGCCCAGGGGCCGGAGCGCCTCTTTGTCCCCGGGCGGAGCTTTCTCCGGCAGCGGCCACCGGTCCCCCTGGCCGGGCCGGCTCCGGTATGTCCGGAGTCCGGCCAGTCGGCCTGGCTGCGCGCCTTTGCCGCGGAATCTGGGCGCCTGGCTGCCCACCTTCGCGCCGGCACCCGAGACTCCTCCGGGCTCGGGCTTTTGTGCCTGTACAGTCGCCTTCCCTGTGCTGCGTCTGTGGTCGAGGAAATCCAAGTGCTTCTGTGTGCGGCCGTGTGCCGTCGAGCCGGGTGGTTTCCCATCCTGCTTGATTCGGCGGCTTTGCTGGAGCCCGCCGGCCCCGGGGCACCTCCCCCCTCGGCCGCGGCCACCCGACAGCATGATGCCGCCCTGGCCGCCCTGGAGGATCGCGTTGCCCGAGCTGTATCCGCCGGGGCGCGGGCATGTGTAGTTGCATTTCGCGCGACGGGATCCGCTGTGGCCGCTGGCCCGGCACCCGGGCACTCGGGCAAACTCTCCGGTATGAGGCCTCCTCCTGTCGCGCGCTGTCCCCCCGCCCCCTGCCGGGGGCCACAACCTTCCGGCCCGTGTTACTGACCGTCATGCCTTTCTTCTGCCCTTTGTCCACGTCGGAATAGAGAAGGCGTGCGATCGGCTGGCGCGGATCATTCGCGCAGCCGGCGGCACCGGGATCATTTGCGTGGTATGTGGCGACTGATGCGAGCATGCCCGAAGGCGACATGCATGTATCCGAAAGGCGGGGGGCGAGAGGGAGCGGCGCACACATGCACCCCGATCACCGGCCCCGGCCCCGGCCCCGGCCCCGGCCCTGGCCGCCCTTCCGCCTGCTCCGCTCATCATTTGCCTGCTCGGCGTCCACTAACACCCGGCTTTCGGCTTCCCGATCCGTCTTCCGGGAAATGGGCTTAGAAATCCAAAACCGACCTCAGCGAGTACCTCCTGCCACTGGTGACCAGCTTCTGTGTATTGGAGGTGTGTGTGTGTGTGTATGGAGAAGGGGGGCTTTTTCTTTCCTCTTTCCCTCTGTGTGTGTGCTGCCTGCCAGCGCCATTTCCCCCCCCAACAGCGATGCTGATTGCCCGGCCTCACTGCCAGCGCCCGGACACCGATGCTCGGGGAGCCATGCTTCGCCGGAGCCTGTCGCGGCTGCCCCACGATCCGGCGCTCCTGTGTCCCGGGGCGCATGGCCAGGACCCGGTCACCGAGGCGGCCGAGCTGCTGTCCGGTGTTCTGGTATCACCCGGCGATGCGGATACCCTGGCTTCCTGGGCCTTCGCCCTCGCCCAAGACCGGTGCGTTGGGGCGGCACCAGGGCGCGAGGGGTGCCTTTCGCACCATGCTATGCGCGAGATTCCCGCTCCTTCCCCTGCTCCTTCCGGGCCCTGACAAATCGGGGTTTCCCCCCCCCCCCCC